TGAGAGCTGGGATTGGCGCACCTCATTCCGTTCTCTTACTGGTTGTTAAAGCGGCAACAATTGGTGGAGAACGGAGACCCAGCCCTCCCTGAACTTTCCAGCATCCACATCTCACCCGGGCCCTTCGGAAGGTACAGAGCAGCTCGCCCTTCTTGCGAGGGCACAGTTTTTCTAGGTTTTCTGCTTTTGCGATGGATTTCCCGGTTTTCACAACCATTCAGAGCCATAAAGGCTCTTGAATGTGATCTGTTCTATGAAATGGCTTTAGGGCTAGTCATGGCCTATATCCTCCCGGACACGTTTGATACTGAATAGCGTTGATCCGGATACTGGATGTGAAGAGCTGTTTTCTGATTGAAGCTGGTTTTTTAACCTTTTTTCTAAAATGAAACTTCTAGTTGATGCAATTCGGCTTAGTGGGGGCATTCTGCTGGCTCCCATGGATGCCTCCAGTGGGGAACTGTAACTTCTTGTTAAGCTATGCAATAACAGGAGTTTCGTTAACATTTGACAAGACTTTACAACAAATATTGCTTCGATGAATCTCTTGCTACTTCCGCTGCTTGGCTCGGGAGGGGCATTCCACACTTCCAATAGTTCTCTTTAATTTGACTGGAACTAACAAAGGGAACTTTTGAAGTCTAAATTGCCCCTCCTAAGCCAAACAACGTAACTAGCAAACGGATTCATCGAAACGATACGGATTTCACGATAAGAACTCCTGAAGCGAATTCCAACGAGATCAGCGGATTCTACTTCTTTCACACTAAAACGTTGGGGCATAATCTCGGCGAAAACTTTTTCGATCCCCCCATACCTTTGAGATCAAGGCAAGACCAATGACATTTCCTTTCTGGCGAACATTTTTCAGTCCTGGGCATCATTCTTTCAATATGATCAAGGAGGACGCTATTCGGCTTGAGAGGGGCAATTTGCACATACATTAGTTCTTTTTGCTAGTTCCTGACAAATTACATCTCACACCTAGGTGAGACCTGTAAACTCTTTTAAAGTTTTAACGGAACTCCTGCTATTGCATAGCCTCACGATATTTACAGGTCTACACTGGGGGGGCATCTGGGAACCAACAAAATGCCCCTCCCGAGCCGAATAGCGGCTTTTGTCCATATACAGAAAATGATGCCCAGAACTGAAAAATCTACGTCAGATCGAAAATGTTCATTGGTTCTGCCATGATTTCGAGGGGAAAAATGGAGAAAAAAGTCTGGCGCAGATTATGACCCAGCGTTTTTCTGCGAAACTAGTACGGAATTGAAAAGTTCGCCGGTTCTGTTCGCTCAATTCCTGCCCTTCTGTCATAACAATTGGGAGATTTTTAGTGGAATGAGTGCAACTGTTTAAGGAAAAAGATGAGCACCGTAAGAAATTAAAATGGAAAAAATGAAAAAAGAAGGGAAGAAAAATCACTTGCAATGGCTGCGGAGTGGGGCATTCTTGCATGTCCGCTACTTCCAATCCTCGTGTTGAGCCATCAAGTAGAGATTTGGGAAGTCTTGTGAAGTCATGAAGTGGTACCAGGAAGTTTGCAGAAACTACTTGTCACATTTTGTAAATACCTGTCAATTTTTGTAAAGCAAGAACACGACGATGGGAAGTAGCGAAAGTGCAAAATGCCCCCTCCAGGTCGATTTGCGCTCTAAATAAGATCAAAAAACAAAAATCGAAGTAGTCAGAAAGCTCTTCCTTCAAGAAGAAAACGACTTACTTCTAGATGCGTTTCCAATATTCTCATTTGAAGTTTCATATTGACCAGTTCAACTTCGTGAATGTAGCGACATTTTTGAAAATACTCAGTTTCGGAGCTGAGGCTGTCCATTTTAGCCCCTGAAAAGTGGAAGGAAATAATTTCCGCTGCAAAACAGGGAAAAACGGTTGATGGCAATCGCGAACATGTTGATGAGGTACACGCGTAGGGCGTGTACCCAGTTGAAGAGGGAGAGTGACACGGGAGGAACTAGTTTGTGTTGCGGGTGGCGGCCTCTCCCTCCCACTACCACTCCTCCCCATCTACAATTGCCATATTCGTGGTCAGCGACAGCTGACTCGGCATTGAAATCGTGCACAAAAACCATGGCGTCACCAGGATTTAGCGCTCGATCGTGCGATTGAATAAGCATTGAATCACTAGAGAGTTCGACCCAAAGCGGCATGAACTTTGCCCCTTTGGGAGTCCCGTGTCTCGCTAGGTCTTACATGGGCCGCTTACGCAGCGGAAATGAAGGCAGCTGTCCCGAGCAAGTGAGTGAGAGACTGAGATGAGCCGGATGTCACGTGAAATTTGACACCGCGTATATCAGCTTGTTCCCGTCCTGGTGAAGTATGTGGGAACTGGGTGGTTCCTACAGATCCTAGCAC